CGATGGCTTCGGGTCGAGTCGTCCAAGAAGTGGGCCCTGAATAGCGAGTCAATGAGCGTAGACTTGCCGACACCCGTCTGTCCCAAAAGCATTACGTTAAACGAGTAGTGATCGGCGACCACTCGACACACGTACTGTTGCGCCAACCACTCGATGCCCACTCCCGGGTCCGCCGGTCTCAACACCCGTACGATATCCGCATACACCGGGTCTTCCGCTTTCTCTTCGGTATCCGTTTGTTTGGCGTCCGTTTCCTCCGCACCGGAAGAAGAGCTTAGATCCAAAAGACAACTCATTATTTGTGGCAAAGTGTGTGTGAATTATATAATCAATTAATTTAAATGTAAAACATATGCAAAAACGCAATTTAAATGTAATTTAAAACCTGGTATTCGTGTAAATATGTGTCAATACAATGTAAAGAAACTCGTGGTAACCGGAGGTATATATGAGATATCAAATGATGGTCTCAAAGTCCATCTCATCAGTAGTCTTCAGCACAAGTTGTGTAGACCTGTATATAAGAGGAGAAGTGGTGCTAATATTACCACATATTTCACACCTGTATTCATACAACCAATAGTTAAATAGTTTGCAAATAAAACCCTAATTTAATTTCCAACACAAATAGTTATAACTTTTGCTTTGAATTTTGCGCTTATATATAGAAAACGACAAATTACTCTCACAAACAACGTTACGAATTATAAGAGGAGTCGAGTTTGACGTCAGAAATATTCGCTTACTTTCACACATATTAGTTAAAGGGGGTTAAAGGGGCTGGAAATAGGGTTAATATCGTAACGTTATTTTGTACTTTGCATTACATTTCATAACATTGTGTGACGAAAAACACGTGAATTTGTTGTTATGTTTTGATTGTGTTTTCAGTTTTACCGCACATTAAATGCATTGCATTTCACACAACAATCCATACAAACAATGGTCTCAACGCTCGGCAAATGTGGTCACATTTTGCAAACACTTCACCACTTCTTCAGACTCTTTGTCGGCCGTCAGACCAGATGTCTGTCGTTGTCGTCTTCGTCGGCGGCCAGCGATAGGTCAGACGCCGGCGAAGACATCGCCGTCCAAGACATCCACGAAATGGAGAGAGACTTCAAAGTGGTTACGATCGACATGTTTGCGGACCTAATCGGTGGCGACCCGAAGACCAGACACGCCGTGGAGACCATTCTCGGCGAATACGAGTACGAGAAGTACGTGACCACAGAAGTGCCCACCGATTTGACCGTCGATGATATGCGTGATCTGTTGGCGTGTGACGATCGGCGCCATTGGATGCGCTTCTTATGCGACCGGGAGTTGCGGTCAGAGATCTACAAACACCGGCGCCGCGAGAATGGCCGCCACTTTTGGGCCAAAAAGCGGGAACGATATGAACGGATGGCGAGCGAGAGGACAGGCATTTGGGATAATGAGCGGCGACTGGTCTATGGTTTATGGCATAACTGTTTGGTCAGCAAAATACAGCCCAAGTCTGTGAAGAGGCTGTACTCGCATCGGCTCCGGAGGGCAGCTCTCTTTGGTCAGAAACTGGTGATTGATATGTCTTTTGATGAGCACATGATTCTCAGTGATTGTCGCTCTGTTGGCCATCAAATCCAAAAGCTTTACTCTCACAACAAGTATCGTTACGACGAGCCCTTTGACCTTCACTTCACGTCCTGCGACCCGTCGGACCAAACGAGTCAATCTGTGGCCAAATATTTAGTGAACTACAAGTCGCCGTACTTTGTGTCCACGTTTCACGAGAAGCCATATCTGGATCTCTTTGCGAAGGAATCGTTGGTATATTTGTCGCCACATTCAGACCAAATGCTTACTCATTATAATAGCGATGATATTTATATCATCGGTGGTGTGACCGGCAAAACGGCGCGCACCGGCATTACCGCCGCTAAGGCCGCACAGGAGGGCATCCGTTCGGCCAGACTTCCCATCGATGAGCACATTGTATGGAAAGCCGGTTGCAGTAAATTGTTGTCACTCGAGGTAATGGTTGACATTCTTCACGATCTGAGTGCTGGCCATGGAATGAGTGAATCTCTCAGAAATAATATTCCGAAGTCTTGTCAGAAGAGTGTCGAAGAGATTGAGTCCGAAGAGCGGCGACGACTCATCAAGTATAACAAGTATAGGCAATGGAGTCGAGGTTCGGGCGATGGTCACGACCTCCGGATCAGCTATAATACGTGATGTATAATCACATATAGTCTCTCGTCAGTGGGGAGAGAGAGAGAGAGCACCATGTGGTCAGTCATTTGTGCTAATTATAATGCAATTGACACCAAAATTAAATACATTTCTTGATTTTCAAACTATATTTGTTTGAATTTTAGTGAACGCTATGAAGATATGGAAAATATTTTGAGTATTTTCTATTCAAAACTTATAGCGAGGAAAATACCGGTTGTTATGATAATAATTGTATTATTTTAGACCCGTTTTTGTTGTGTTTTTTGTGCAAATTTTATTTAATAATATAAATAGTTAATGAAAAAAATACAAATATTGTAAAACATAATAATAATCATAAATCAATACAAAAATTGTTTAAATTATGTATAAGAGTATAAAAATAATATCAAAAATATATTGAGTAAAAACAAAATACATATCAAAAAATATTGTATAAAAAGTCAATTTGTTAATTAATTAATTAAACAATTGATTTGTATATTAGAAGGATTATAGTTTCTCAAAAAAGTGGCATAAAATGAATGGACGATTGGGTTTTAAAACTGTTTGTTTTTGCATATTTCTGTCACTCGATCCAAATGTGTGGACAGGAAGTCCTGTTCCGATCCCAGAATGGTGTGCACATCAAACCGGCCCTCAAAGTCCTGGTAATCACACATTCATTTATACATTAATTAAATAATTATTTTCATAACTTATACAACACAAACAATGTTAGACACTTCACCTCTCGTTTGATGCCGAAGTCGTGTAGAATGCGGTCCTGAATCCGCTGGAACTCCTCCTCTTTGCGCAAGAGTTTGACAACCGTGACATCGGTGGTGATGTTCTTGATCTTACGTTTGATCATTTTGGTGGTCTGCGAGTGTTTCAATGTCTGCATTTTGGCGATATTCTTCTTCCTATACTTGACCACCATTTCCGCCCTCTCGAAGGAGCCCTTAATGATCTCATCCACGTCTTTGCCCATCAAATGTTTGCCGCCGTAATGTTTCAACAGCTCTATTAGTTTATTGATTCTGGCGTTTTCTCCTATAGATAATGATCGACACAATTGTATGACATGTCGTGATATGATTGACAGATGTATGCAAAAAAACTAACCCTTGATTTCCATCACCTCCTTCTGAATGCGCAAAAGGATCCTTTCGGGCATAAAAGCGCGCAAATAGACGAACACCATCTCAAACCTCTCGTCGGCACTCCAGTCGTCTTTGACGCCGGCGTCCGACGGGTCCAGAATGAGGAGCGTTTTGATTGGCACGTGTTTGCGGCACATATGGATGCCGACGATGGCGCCGAACGAGTGGCCAACGATGTCATAGTTGCCTTCGGGCATCATCTGTTTGAGTCGCTCTTTGTAAAAGTCGCTCACTTTTTTGATGTCCTTCAGCTCTTGCATTGTTTTCATCCAATTCAGTGCAATCACCGGTCGGTTCAGATTTCGGGCCAAATCTTTCAGCGTTTCGAATATGCCTTCAATCGGAGGCAAGAAAAAGATCGGTTTTCCTGTTTTGGTTGTAAACAATGGTTATGTCATTAGTATATCAATTGTGACAAATGTGTGGTAAATAAGAGGTGAGCCAAACCTGAGCCGACATCGTTGAGACGAGAGGTGGGCTCAGAGGGCATATCGAAGCGAACGGTAGCCAAGTTCTGGCGCACGTTCTTAATGTCTGTGGAGTACTGTTTGAGGCCATCTTTGCTGCCGATCTGAATGCGCAAAAGGATCCTTTCGGGCATAAAAGCGCGCAAATAGACGAACACCATCTCAAACCTCTCGTCGGCACTCCAGTCGTCTTTGACGCCGGCGTCCGACGGGTCCAGAATGAGGAGCGTTTTGATTGGCACGTGTTTGCGGCACATATGGATGCCGACGATGGCGCCGAACGAGTGGCCAACGATGTCATAGTTGCCTTCAGGCATCATCTGTTTGAGTCGCTCTTTGTAAAAGTCACTCACTTTTTTGATGTCCTTCAGCTCTTGCATTGTTTTTATCCAATTCAGTGCAATCACCGGTCGGTTCAGATTTCGGGCCAAATCTTTCAGCGTCTCGAATATGCCTTCAATGGGAGGCAAGAAAAACACCGGTTTTCCTGTTTTGGTCGTAAACAATGGTTATGTCATTAGTATATCAATTGCGACAAATGTGTGGTCAATGCGAGCAAACCTGAGCCGACATCGTTGAGACGAGAGGTGGGCTCAGAGGGCATATCGAAGCGAACGGTAGCCAAGTTCTGGCGCACGTTCTTAATGTCTGTGGAGTACTGTTTGAGGCCATCTTTGCTGCCGTCGCGGAACTCCTTCAGCTCTCCGACCGTAATCNCAAACCTGAGCCGACATCGTTGAGACGAGAGGTGGGCTCAGAGGGCATATCGAAGCGAACGGTAGCCAAGTTCTGGCGCACGTTCTTAATGTCTGTGGAGTACTGTTTGAGGCCATCTTTGCTGCCGTCGCGGAACTCCTTCAGCTCTCCGACCGTAATCTTCTTGATGTCTGTGAGCGCCAAATGGATTTCGTAATCCCTTTCGAGCCGTTGCTGTATCTCTACGGCCATCATTGAGTCCAAACCCACGTCACCCAAAGTGGAGTCTTCGGGCCGCGAATCGATACCCAAATGACTGCAGAGTTGGCTCAACACCTCGTCTTCATTCTTACTGCCGGAGCCCTGACTGTCGGCCTTCACTATAGAGGACAGGACGGCGTTCGGGCTCTGAAGGAATCGATCCAAAACATCCAAACACGAAGAGATTCGCTGCAAATGAATGCCAGCGAACAGTTTCATGGCGTCCGCCTTGTCGTCGGTGACCAACAGCTGTTCGGCAACAATACCGACGTCACCGATGGGACCCCATTGAATGGCCAGACCGGGCAGACCTGTTGTGCACACCATTAAGAATAAGTATTAGATCTTAATTAATAAACAATTCAATTTATTTATCCAAACTAACCGTCCGCTCGACGCCTTTCGCAGATCCTCTCCATCGCTGAATTAGCGAATCCATAGTTGGATTGACCGCCGTTTCCGCGGCCGGCCGTCAGCGACGAGAAGGCGACGAAGAAGTCCAGTTGCGGACACTTGAGCCGAGTGGCGGCGTCCAAGTGTTTGAGTCCATTGAGTTTCGGTTGACAGACCTCACGGAATGTCTGCTCCGTTTGATTCTCGATGAGCGCGTCCTTCAAGACCATCGCCAGATTGAAGACACCGCCCACCGGAGCGATGCCCGACGCCTCGTCTATCAGTTTGTGTGCGCCCTCTTCTGTGGTCGCGTTCACCGTCGAGACCGTGATATCGATCTTATAGTCTTCGATAAGTTTACCGAATTTACGGAA